TYMWTTTTWMCMAAAAAAAAATTATAAAAAAATAAAWAAAAACCTTCATCTAWGTATATCAAARACCTGTGTAAAATTTCATGAGTATCGGTTGGAAAGGTCTCGAGAWMTCTTGTCAAATCTTKATTTCAAAAACGYAGTTTYGAGAAAAACGCATTTAAAGACAATWAAGRTGAGTCACAAGTGCACATGTTCTGAAGGCTGTATCTCCGAAACTATCACTCRGATCTACAYGAAAATTTAAAACAATATTCCAGAGGCATTATAGAATTTAATAAAATAATAAACAAATAAATTTTTTGAAAACCCGTAAACCCATGTAACCCCTTAAAAAATTTAACCTGTGTTTTACGCATTTTAATATCACATAAAGATCGATTTTCTAAAGCTTGGAAAGAAATATATTTGATTTCCGAGCATATGTTAGTTATGAAAGTCTAACTAAATATTATTGCTTATAATGAAACTTTATCAAAACTCTTCAATACAAATCAATACGATAAGAGCAAAAAGCGTGTTAATCGGCGCTAACGTAGGTAACGCACAGTTTTCAGTTCTGTGTCGAAGGTTACTCTTAAAAGCTCCCACCCCCTGAAAACTCAGAAGAATTTTAGCTTTAGACTACYGGATTACTGCAGTGTTTTTCAGGCAGAGTGGCTGCTATCAAGGTGGCGGTAGACGTACTGCTACGAAGTGCAGTATCTTTTAAGGAACTGAGCATTCACTTCGACAGCGAGCGCTGAGCTCGTTACTGTGCGTTCAAAGCTAGTCAAAAAGTGTCTCTCTCTCCTCTCCTGTAATTATTTTTTTTTTTTCAAAGACTTTATGCGAATTTCATGGAAAGTCTTATGTAAGAGCCGCTTTTTCCTCTTCTAATTGATAAGTTTTACTAAATAAACGATATTTCNCTAATTGATAAGTTTTACTAAATAAACGATATTTCTGCATTCAATTAATTGATTTGCCAGCTAATTAGTTAATTGATGCAAAAATTAAGTAATTCTGTAGTGCATTTAAGTAGTGTATACTGTACTGAATATTTAAAAGAGAAAAAAGTAATAAGAAAATCAGACTTAAGTACATGWGTGCAMATTATATAATATTTAATATCACATWGGTGGTGTTTTGAATATKGCAYGAGATTTCTAACGGAAATACTAAATTCAAAAATAAAAAAAACAATAATATAATGTGTTTACTATAAAAATAGTAATCATAAAAAACGCAAAACTAATATGTATTTATAACCACTACGTTATTAAACGATAAAAAACGATATTTTGTTGCAAGATTTTTAATTGAACGATAACGGTACTTTTAAAAACCACTAACAGTGTGATAAATTAACTAGAAACATTAACTTTTACTTCCGAGATGGTTTGAGAGAGCTTTATATATTATTACAAGACCGAGCTCATTTTTAAATCAATAACTAAATTCATTAGAGACCATTAACTTTTACCTCCGAGATGGTGCAAGAGAGCTTTATANTATTATTACAAGACCGAGCTCATTTTTAAATCAATAACTAAATTCATTAGAGACCATTAACTTTTACCTCCGAGATGGTGCAAGAGAGCTTTATAGCAGTTRAKMAATGGGCGTGGCACCGCCCACTTTTATTCGAATCCCCGAAATTTGTGTTTTCCAGCTAAAAACTTTACTTCCGTAATGCGCCCGCTAAAGTTAACCAAAACTGTTCCTAGTCCCCTAGGTAGCGAACATGTGAGACTTTCGACAGAATATATCGGTAAATGTATGAGATATAAATARTTACAATTTATACATAATCCTTTCTTGTGAATGGCATGTCTTTGTGTCAAGATGGAATTGATCCGGGTCAATACTTTCCTTAGCTCCAATATACGAAAACAAATATTTTCAAACYTCCGGGTGGCTTTTGTATTGCAAGTTATCTCAATAAAATTAATAWAGCGTGTTTTAYTGATAACAGTGTATCTTTGTATCTWAAATRGAAAAAAAAATGGTTTAGCCTCCATTTATTTACAATTATAACATCCGGATGACTTTACTCTCTGTTATTAGTGATTGTATGTGCGTTACCCTGATGAAACTTCGGTGCATTTWATTAATCTGTGSCATATTAATTGTACCTTCAATATARCTTTAATTGGTTTTCTTGTATTCTAAGGGACCAAAAAATATCAAAAACGTAGAGACATATGCTTTTTTTTTTTATTTCTAAAAAGGATGCTCAAACTCTTTAAATGCCTAGTAAGAGAATTAGTCAGACTTAAACTTAAGTGAAATGTACGCTTTAGGAAGCCTATAAGCTCAACGAATTCAATATGAAAGTCATTCAGGTAAATCTTAATACAATAATATGTATGTATATTAGGGTGTTTTTGCATTTTGGACTATTGGTCTTTTTCAGTCCTGTCAAGAAGTTTCCTTGGAAATACCCTAAAAAAATTCCCTACAAATTTTCGGCCTTAATATTAACATTAAGGACTGGACCAAGGCCTATAAAAAGCCTTGCTTAAAAAGCTGAATATCTCGAGAAGTATTAAAGATAGCGATTTTGACCTCGAACCTTTTTTATAGCAAATTAAATTTCCTACAAACGTTGTCATGTACATTTTCTCTATAGCTCTTGTCCTTTACAAGATATATACAAAACAATGCCAAATTCGTAGAAAAATCGGGTTTAGAGCCCCGTACTACCTTGCCGGTGTGAGTTACGACTTGTTGCACTGGACACTTTTGTAGAGTGAACAATTTTGAGAAATATGTGCCTAAAGTAAAAGCGATGCCATAAAATATCTCTGATGTGTAGGAATTTWAAGATAAAAACTCGCGATTGTAGTGTATTTTCTATAGAAAAGTTTTACCGGCCTTGGTCCAGTTCCTAATGTTAATATTAAGGACTAAATTTTTCAGGGATATTTTTAGGGTATGTCCAAGGAAATTTCGTGACGGGACTGAAAAAAGTTAATAGTTCAAAAAAAAAAACACCCTAATGTGCATACATACACTAGACGTTCGTATGAATGAGCGGAAATGTTTATTGCGGTCAGTTTATCTCTGAAATAAATTAATTTAAAAAAATATCTTAGAAAATATCAAAATTTCTGAATGACTTACATGCATACACCTATAAAGGGTTAAATTAAGTACGAAACATCATCACACAATTTACGTTATTAAGGCTGCGGCAAAGCTCTTTTCGAATAGTTATACGCCGTACAGCGATCGGTTTAGACGTGGTGCACACACATTGTATTCTTTAAAGCTTAGTCTTAGGCAAATTTAGTGAAAATTGTTGAGTGAAAACAGCATAAATTTACAAAAGTAAAATGTCAGCGACAACAGAAGTGTGTACAAATGGGACTGCGGAAATCATTAAAAGTGCAACGGAAACTACTAATCATAGTGTTGCAGCCAAAGGCGAAACGAATGCTGAGAGTCAAATCCCCGAATGGCTGAAAGCGGAACTATTTGTAGATCTGCTGCAGAAAAACGTACCAAATTTTAAGAGCATTAAAAATTTCACAGCCAAAGTCTGGGAAGTCGCTGGCGAAAATTTAGTCAATGTCTTGGCATCGGTGAATTTAGACGCAGAGCTTGAAGGCAAGTAAAAATTAGTTTATTGCACTACTTGTTGTGGTATTTAAAATTTCAAAAGTCTATTTGTTCATACTTTAGATGGAAAATTACAAAATTTGTCATATATGATCAAACTACCCATCGACGCGGTACAAGAACTAATGGCGAATTATCATAATCTAAATGATAACGAAAATGTCATGTATAAAGACGTGATACCGGAAATGGAGAAAATGTATAGAGATGCGGGAGTTGAAGTGAAATTCGGAACAAAATCTTACGATCTAAAAACGCCATCCAAATTCGGTGTTGTACTCATGGACGATTTACGTCCCCATGGTTTCAAAAATGTCAACCGTATTGAGGGTTTCGACATGGAACACACCAAGGCCRCATTGAAAAAGTTGGCACAATGGCACGCCGCCTCAGCGGTGCGTGTTGAAACCAAAGGACAATATCCAAAAGTAGTTACTGATGGAATATTTAACGAGGGCATGTTAGCAATGATGGAACTGATGATTGAATTAACAGCGCCATTATATATGGAATGTGTTCGCACGTATGAGGGTCATGAAGAGTACTACGATAGTTTGGTATGTGCCGAGGCTTTAGTTTAATGTAAAATAAGTGTGTTTTTTTTATTCTATTAATTTTTGTTTTTTATTTTAGCAAAAAAGTCACGAGTATTTTGCAGAGGAATTTCATTCGCTACTGRAAAACGATCCAAATGGGTTCAATGTTTTAAATCATGGAGACTTTTGGGCCAACAATATTATGTTCCAATATGATGACGCGGGTAAACTGAAGGAAACATATTTCGTTGACTTTCAGATGACGCATTATGGTTCACCGATATTTGATCTATATACTTTGCTGCTATCGTCAACGAGCTTGGATGTGAAACTAAAGCATTTCGATTATTTTATTAAATACTATCATGATAATTTGATTGAGTACTTGAAATTACTGAAATATCCCAAAAAATTACCCACCCTAAAGGAAATCCATGCCGACTTGCTCAAAAATGGCGCTTTCGGTGGGTAAAAAGTGAAATACCAAATGAGCATTATAATCTCCGTAATATTCTTTGGTTTTTCTTCACAGCTTTAAACTTAGTTGTTGGACACTTATCCCTCATGCTGATCGATTCAAAGGAAGTACCTAATATTACCAATTTAATGGACATGACAGAAGATGGCATGGCTCTTAAAAGGAAGATCTATACAAATTCACGTTATCGGAAACACGTGGAGGTACTTTTTCCTTGGCTTTATCATCGTGGTGCTTTCTATTGACTAAGGTACAACAATTTGTTCCTAAAAGGAATTTTTATAGTCAGTGTACACTGACCTATAGCATATATGTATATAATTTTAATTGAAATAAGTGTATAGAAAAATTGATGGTAAATTGCTTTTGTTCCAATGCTAATGCTAGAGTGCTAATTGGAAAACACTTTACGTTAATATAAAAGACACAATAAAAATAAATAAAAACGGTAAAAACGATATTTATTTTAAAATAATTTTTGTGTAATTGTTTACTAACGGTATCAAATTTTTTTGACATTTTATTGACGGAAGTGGAGGAGGTGGATATGGATGAAATTAGTTATAAAAACTATATTAAAAGCATTGCACAGAGCAGTGCAATATTGAAACGGAAACGATAAATTATATGTGTACAATTTCATTCTAATCCTTCCTCAAAACTATCACAATTGCTAAGTATTGGGAATGGTAGAATAGAACTGCGACCAAATACTCAATGCAATGGTTCATAACTGGTTCAGTAATCAGAGGATGAAGATTATACCACGTGCATTCCAAAAGACTGATGCCATAACCCTATTAGACGACGTTTTTGTCTTTCCACGCTTGACGACCGGTTCATCATTTCCTCAGTTGCCAAATTAGTATACGTATCTCTTAAAGGTAGGAGCTGATTAGAAATCATAAAGAGGATATTGCTAGTGACATCTATGTATCAGCTAAAGTAAAGCGTGGACGGGTCCTCAAGTAAAATTATAAAATAAGCAGCTGCTAGGTGTCGGTTTATCTTTATTAGAAACCAAAGTTTAAGAGGTTAATCTTGGAATAAAATCTTACATTGAATGAAGAAATTAAGTACCTAAACTTAAATAGCTCTGTCATTGAATGTATCTTTATATTTATTGTTTTTCAATATTTTGAAAATCATCCACTCAAGATTGTATAACGAAAGTTGTAAAATTCGAAAAATTTTAAAATTTGTGTATTTCATTTGTATTCTTAAGGGTTTACGGGTTTCAAAAAACGATTTTTTTATTGTCTGATTAAATTCYACAACCAGTGAAAGCATAACGCCAGCAGAAGGTTAACCCACGTTGTGCACATGTTACATTGCTCGACTGTGAAGAAGTTCGAATTGAAATTACCCGTCTGAAGAACAACGAAGCGGCGGGACCGATGAATTGCYGGCCGAGCTATTCAAACATGGSAGCGAAGAACTAATAAGGAGTATGCATCAGCTTCTTTGTAAAATATGGTCGGACAAAAGCATGCCCAACGATTGGAATTGAAGTGTGCTCTGTCCAATCCACAATAAGGGAAGCGCCACWATCTGCACCAACTACCGTGGGATAAGTCTATTAAACATCACATAAAAGTCTACCGAGCGTATTGTGTGAAAGATTAAAGCCCACCRTCAACAAACTAATTGGACCTTATCAGTGAGGCTTTAGACGTGGAAAATCAACAACCGACCAAATACTCATCATGTGCCAAATCTTAGGAAAGACCCGTGAAAAGAGAATCGACACACACCAAACTTTTTCAGCATCGAGAGGAACCTCTCCGAGAAGTTCGATACCAAACGAAGTTTCAGACAAGGCGACTCCCTATCATGCGATTTCTTCAACYTGCTGCTGGAGAAAATAATTCGAGCTGCAGAACTTAATCGAGCAGGTACAATATTTTATAAGGGTGTACAGCTGCTGACAGTCATAACTTTGAAGTCGTAGATAATTTCGTCTATCTTGGAATCAGTATAAATACCACCAACAATGTAAGCCTGGAAATCCAACGCAGAATAACTCTTACCAGCAGGTGCTACTTCTGAATGTGACCAAACTCTCTCAGTCCCTCAGTTATGAGTCCCTCATAATTCCCGTCCTGCTATATGGTTCAGAGGCATGGACGATGACAACAACTGATGAGTCGACGTTGCGAGTTTTCGAGAGAAAGGTTCTGCGAAATATTTATGGCCCTTTGCGCGTTGGCCACGGCGAATATCGCATTCGATGGAACGATATTGTTTATGAATTAAAAGAGGGAGCGACTACGCTGGCTGGGCCATGTTGTCCAAATGGATGAAAACACTCCAGCTCTGAAAGTATTCCTTCACTCCGTTGGAAAGACTAGGAGGAAAAGAACCAGACTTCGCTTGGAATCTCCAATTGGCGCCACGTAGCGAAAAGAAGAAACGACTGGGGCGCTGTTGTTGAAAAAGCTATAATCATGTAAGCTGTATCTACGTCAGTAARGAAGAAGAAGAAGAAATCCTACAACCAGATCTAAAAGATTGTCCTAAATTTTCATGTTGTTCTGAGTAGTAGTTTGGGAGATACAGCCTTGTTAACTTGTGCGCTAGGCTAAGTGCGCCGTCTTTAAACACTTTTTTCCGAAACTGTGTTTTTGAAGTCAGATGACAAGATTTTTCGAGAACTACTCAACTGATCTTCACGAAATTTTAAACAAGCCTTTGTGATACACTCGTTAAAGACTTGGATGAAGAATTTTTTTCAATAACAACAATTCAAAGAAAAAAAATGGTGAGAAGTTTTCACTTAAATTTAAATTTTTTGTTAAAATGTCTGCCAAAAATCCTTCTTTCGTCTGAATTCTAAGTTAAATTTTTAACTAAAGCACATATATTTCACTTTTGATGATCCCGATGAAGGAAARCTAGTTTTGAAAAAACATCCTTAAGCAGAAAGGAAAGTTTTAAGCCAATGAATCTATATATTACCGTCGAGAAGTATTCTTTACAACTTTTTGATATCCCACGAAAGATCGCAATGATATATGTTGACAACTCCTACATTTATGTAACTAAAACTCAAATATACTTAGAAACAAAGGCAATCARTGCCCATTCTCTATAATTTTGGCTGCTTTAGCCTTCAATTTTATTACGAATGGAAAGATCTAGCTTCTGCCTATTTTCGTCTGATCTTAGGGAATTATATACATAGGAATTTAAGCAGACATAGATAGAGTGCATAATTTTTATCACTTATAAAACTCTAGACGGTGCCGATAACTGGGGTTACATTTATGAGAACGAGAGCGCCACCGGTATGTTGGGTGATGTGTACACACAAAATGTCGAAGTGGCCATCGGCTGCATTTACAACTGGTACAACAACATCACGGAAACTTCCAACATCATTGCACGATCGTCTGTAGCGATTTTAGGGCCAGCGCCAGCGTAAGTGATCATAAATGATAGGATTATACACAAAATGTAATGTGAATTTGTATTCCTTTTAATCTGTCATTCAGACAATTTCCCGCTTGGCGTGCCAATATAATGCCATTCAGTAACGCCCTCTGGATTTTCTTAATACTGACGATTCTACTTTGTGCCGCCGTTATGTATTTTATYCGGTTTGTAGCCTCTCTGCTGGACAAATGGCTTAGGGGTGTACAATGTGATTTTCAACATGTAACAGCATTTGGACAAGCGACRTTGGATATGTTTGCGGTTTTCATACAACAGCCATCCGGGCCGACAAGGTTAATTGGTATTTAAGAATTTGTATGTTGAAAGCTTMAGTTTGATCAATATCTCTAATTGCKTAGAAATCARTCAAACACAGTCAAAATCSTATCAAAAGCTACATYCAAAGCTTGGTCGAAAGTTTCAAGGCAAACCTTATTGAAAACTTTTCCGCAAACTTTCCAAAATAATATGCTAATGTAGACCATTCAAAGATTGCCCTTAAGGCAATATATAAAAGTACAAATTGTTTGAATTCGATTATGAAAAACTATGCTAACTTAAAGAGAAATTTATTTCACGATTTATAAATCACATGAGTTATTTGTATCTGATATTTTACCAGATACTATAGATTTATAAATTCCTAATTTTTTTTTTTCATTCGTAAAGTCTAAACACTTTTGCCGCCCGTTTCTTTCTGGCGATGATACTCTGTGCCACTATTACCTTGGAGAACACCTATAGTGGTCAATTGAAATCCATACTGACTGTACCGTTATTCACCGAGGCTGTTGATACTATGGAAAAATGGTCGCCTGTCTCTTATACACATCTAGATGTGTATAAGAGACAGCACCTATAGTGGTCAATTGAAATCCATACTGACTGTACCGTTATTCACCGAGGCTGTTGATACTATGGAAAAATGGTCGAAAACGGATTGGACTTGGTCAGCGCCATCCATTGTATGGATTCAAACTATAGACAGCTCTAATATCGAGAAAGAGCAAATAATGTCCGAGAAATTCGAAGTGCGCGACTATGATTTTTTATACAATGCCAGCTTTCGTTCAGACTACGGACTGGGTATCGAACGTCTTATGAGTGGCTCTTTTTCTTTTGGTGATTATGTGACAGCGCCTGCTTTAGAAACAAAAATTGTAATTCTTCTTGTTTTTTTTTCCAAGGATTATTTATAAATCTTTACTAAAATTTTTAGGTATCTAAAGATGATTTATACTTTGATTGGAGYCGTGCTGTCTCCATAAGGGGCTGGCCACTGATGCCGCTCTTTGACAAACATATACGCGCTTGCRTTGAAACGGGACTTTTTGTACATTGGGAAAGAAAGGTAAGGAAGTGCGATTAAATATCTTTAGTCAGGGTAGGCGATTATGTAAGAGTCGTTTGTGCAATCTGTTATTAAAAGCGAGGCTCCATTTCAAAATATTTTATCATCGATAATTTCCACTTTACTATATACATCATGCTAAAGATTTCGAMAGCTCTAAATTATTAACCGTTTGATTTCCCCAGCCGCTAGATTCCGCTGACCCAAGGTAAATTCTCAGAGGTCCAGTAAGCTATTCGCCTTTAGTAAATTTCAACTTTCGTTGAATTACTGACGCAATTATATCCATAACTCGCTCAAGAAAAAAGGAAAAGTTTATATGGACCTGTCTGGATCAAATTTGAACTTTTGTATATAAAATTATCTCATGCTCATAAGTATGTTTRTAAACATAAAAATATTTTACTTATTTCACCCAACAGATTGTGGCAAAATACCTGAATCGGCAAACACAGGAAATTATGCTGAACTTGGCTTCRGGGCACATCAATAAATTACCACCACAAAAGCTAACCATCGAAAATATTTCGGGCGCCATATTTGCGTTGCTCTTCGGCTGCCTGATTGCGAGCTTCTTATTTGTGCTGGAATTGACTGCTTACTACTTCAATAAGTTTCAGGGCTTATATATGGAAAACAGTAAAAACTAAATTATTTCAAGTTAGTCAAATTACTATTGAAAATGTTGCTTGGAAAATATGAGAATAAAAAACTATATATAATATATTAGGATGAACCACTAACTAGCTTATCGAATTCACGGGYTTAAATTAATCAGAATGCAAAGAAACAAGTAAGGAAGTGCTGATTTCGGGCATAACCAATCATTTCATACTATTGCAAATTGCAAGGATTAAAGGTAGCGAAGTACCTTCAGGTACATGAGACCTGTAAATTATAGATATTGGGTATAGGGCGAGTTTTTACCCGGGTTTTTTTTTCCTTCTAAGCATAAATATACACTCAATTTTATTAAGATAACTCACATTAAAAATCGCGGATAAACATTTAACTCCTCAAGGCGAAAATATTTCGAAATCTTCATCCAACGTACACCCACTCACCAATTGAACTGCAATCATCTTAACAAATTCGATGCCACTTTACTGCACCTAATCCGACCAAATAGCAGACATTAGACGCACATAACGAGCAATCAAGGCTTCAGTGCCATAAACATCCAACAAGAAGTCAAATCTCGCTACCTTCAAGTATCAATTTCAGCTTTAATCCAGCATGTTCCTAGCTACACACACACACACACACACACATATGTGGCATGCGTTAAATACGGCGACATATAGCGAAAGGCATACGCTCGAACCCATTACAGACGGAATTGATGAAATGCAAGCATGTGTTGGCTTTATAACATTTTGGCCATGTCAGCGATCAAAAGCCCGCTGTGGTTCAATCTGAAGTTGTATGGACGCCGCAGCCAACTATGAGCACTAAGAAAGCTAATCGAAACAATTCAATGGACTCAATAACAAGAGAGCAGCCACGACTCAACAACAACGGSCAAGTTGATTTGCCACAGCAGCAAAACAGTAAAGCACTCAATCAAGCGACCTTATAGACCATTACCCAAGCTGCCACAATAAGCGACGATGGYGGTGTGGGCAAAAAGAGTACWCGTCTCGTGGCAAATGTAAACACAWATGGGGAAATAGCAACTACAACATGTCCAACAAGTTTGCTTCACTGTCTCAATAACTGGCCGTAAGTGAGCCTAAAACACCACACACACACCCGAGTAGCGGGTCATGTTCGAAGTTGTAAGCGAAAGCCAAGGCGCAGATTAAAAGATTTGCCRTACGCGCGCCCACACAACATGCCACGTGTGGCCATACCGATGCTGCGTTATGATACATATCTGCAAGCATACTCGTACATATGGATCACGGATGCGGATAATGTCAGCTGAGAACCTCGTCGAAAGCGCAACAAGCCAATGTGTTCGCCGGGCTGTCTGACGGTTGTGCYAYGATTGCCGGCTTTTCGTTAAACTGTATACGGGCTGATAGCACCACACTAGCCTTCGTTGGYTATGACAGCTCAACAACAATGAATTCAACAGTGCTGAGCACTATGTGATGTCAAGAGCTTTGCAAGTCACAGTAATTAAAAGCTGGAATGATTTTCATCACCGATTTGCATGAGTTGTATGATTTTATTGAAGCTTTATCATTAGGTATTTTCAGCAGGCTGCGGTGGTCTAGCCATTTATGCGCCACGCAGAGAGTTTGTGATTACTAGTAGTGTTCATGAGAAAGGACTTTATAAAGGCACATGCGTATAGGGGATGAAAAGTTACCGATATTTAGTGGCAGGTTGTTGTTTGCGATATTAGCAGTAATCACAGTAGCGAAGTGACGGTTATCGATATCTAAAATAAATTGTCTCAAAATCGATTTCCTTACATTTTTAAAGGCAATATATATTAAAAAAAAGGCTCTTTCACATAACTCGGATGTCAATTACAAGTCATGCTGCTTCAGCGTCGATGGTTAGATCGATTGTGTCAATGAACTGATCGATAAAATTTCATCTGATCAAATTTGACCCGGACTGGACGATAATTAATCAAAAGGAAATATTGGTTTCCGCAGAGCGGTTTTCTCCCTCCACTACTGTTTAATCACTATATTTCGAAWTTCCCTCAACCACCAGAAGGAGAGCATGTGTTCAAAAGTGAATGAACATCTCTAAAAACATGTGGATTAACACCTTCACTGACCAGTGAATGGTTTCCGCAAGACACAAGAGTGACTCTAGCGCAGCTTTGAAACATCGGAACAATGTAGCGAATGGTGCTCCAAAAATCCATGAATGGAATTGKATTAAGCATTTTCATTACTGACTTTGAACCAAAGAAGCTGACTTTGAAGGACGTAATCCTTAGTACGGGTCAAATTTGTTAATATGATGTGGTGCTACCATACAAAGAGATCGATCAAGTCCATGTATGAAAAGTATTTTATTTCACGAGTTTTCCTCACGACATTTCGTAATTACTTTRGCAATTTTGTTCACGAAATTTGCGAAATTCAGCATGGACTATTGSTCAAGCCAACGCTGCAATCTCCGAAGAAATTGTTCAGATCCGACTGCACAGCTGCAGCTGTCATACCAATGCATCGATTCAATAAACCAGCCTCCATTAAATATTAAAGCTTTATAAAATCATAGTTAAGTAACTTCCGCAGCTTTTGTGAACCGACTTTAATTTCATCGCAATAAAAYTACTAATGAAGCGAGCATTAATTACCAAATGGACAGCACCATCGACTGGCCACCGCTTGGCATTCGACTTTGTTACATACTGCAATTTAGCAAGTGCCACAAGTGCATAGTGCAAATTYCTTGCATGCTGCATGTATGAGAATTCTCTCTAAAGGAATGCCCCTGATCTGATTAGAGTGGTTGGATGATGAAGGAGCGAGCCGGGATGCCAGTGGTCGGAGCGGGCGGGTAAGGTATGTGGATAATTGACTGAATGTGAGCGCACCTAAACATCCATTTAAGAGCCCACCCACACAAACAGGCATTTGTGTTGGTGTTGGTGTACTTGAAGAATTTCCAWTGCACCAGGGCACTGAAGCGACCGAAACTTTGTTCTGCTCGCAGCAGCAGCGCAGTCATAAAAGGAAAACTATTTCAAAATTATGTGAAGTTCAAGTGTTTACAATGCTTGATGGAATAGTTTTGGGCAAATTAATGCACTTTAAATGCACGCTCCGCTTTAACTAAGCGTGTATATTAGCAGAAGCTTTGCATTTGCCATTTCACAATGATTTCGTGTAWTGCACGATTGCGTAATACATTTGCCTCATATTTGTAGCAAAAACTTKTTTATTTATGAGTTAATTAGTCCATGGCAAACTTTAGCTTTTTTTTTTTATTTTTGTAAATGTAAATCCCCCAAACGATTATCACCGCTCATCGCACAATAAAGTAATGTGTTAATCGGATTTCGCCGCGGTTCGCCAATAGAGGATTTTTATGCGTTTTTAATAAATTATTTTGTGCGGAAATAAATACAATTTGTGGTATTTCGCTGCATTTACAATAATTAAATTTACACGCTTAACTCGTTAAGTAAATAAGCGGCCACAGCATAAGCATACATATACGCATATTAGGGTGTGCGATATTTCATATTTGATATTTTTATTGCTGATGTCCGCTGAAGCTTTAGTTTTTAATATCGTAGGTAAAAAAAACTCTACTTAAATCACTAATATATGGAGAATTTTTATAAGCATTCGAAAAAGCATTCTTTGGCCATCCGTTGAGCCCAATTTTAAATCACTCGTTCGAACATTTTGACTGGTAATCCCCGTAACACGGCGGGATGTTTTRCTCTAAGGCCTGAAACAGTATTATCCGCATAGCCTTTAAACTCTGGCAGCCAATCGACGTGTGGAAAATGGCGCCTCACGTAAGAAATAGCAGCTCTTGAAGCTCTTCAGGTTACTCTTCGTCTCAAATGCGGCAATTTCGCTTGTTTACATACCTATTGAGCTGGAAATGGACCTCATCGCAGAACAAAATTTGTCTCCATCGGATCTCCTGAAACTTTCATATATATTTTTCATTAAGTATAGATCAGCACAGCTCGTTTAACTAAATTTAAAGGAASATACACGATTTTCTAATTTACCGTACCACTTTCGATTCCAACCATATTCAGTTATACTTCCAGTTYGCCTAATTCTTAATTAAAACATTCTATTATTCGAAGTAGTTATCTTCTGTKAGCTCCTTCAATACAATAACAGAAATAGCGGATATAAATTKGATTTCTTATTAACAACATCRTGTGAGACACGATCACCTCTAATTRGTTTTCATGGTATTGCAGAGGCAGACACCCGAACAAAACCCTCTTCTCTATTATAGTCAGTTATACATAACCGGAACGAATTCGGATTTTTATCCGCCTAAGAACTATCTATATTTTTAAAATTGTTTGGGAAACATTTTATGCTAAAACAGCAACACAAATTATTTTTAATAGTAAGTACTCATCTGCTATTTTTTTCAGTTTGGTAGGTGTCTTCGCTAAACCTCAATCCAAGTTGATTACTAGCACTAGAGCAAAACTTAACAAGTATGAAAGAGCTAAGTTCGGGTGCAACCGAACATTTTATACTCTTGTAGCTTGCAAGAATCAATGTCAGGGAAATACCACAAGATATAAAACGTCAGGATCGGAATCTAAGCAATTTTATATATACATAAATATACTCTATGCAAGGTGCCTTCCAAAATAAACAGGATTAAAAAAAAACAGCACAAACGGTTTTTTCGGCAAAATCAATTTATTTTATTCAAAATAGTATCCTTCTGCTTCAACACAGCTTTTTGCATGGTCGAACGTTTTATGATGGGAGTGAAAAAAATTAATAGTTAATAAAAAAACCCTTATATACATATACATATAYATATTTACTTCGATTSCGATCCTCTGGTTAACGTTTTGCACCTTAAGATATTTGCCTGGCTTTGATTTTGGCAAAATTCATTAGTTTAGTATATTCGGTTGCACCCGAACTTAGGCCTTCTTTACTTGTTCGAATGAAAACAGTGGCTCAGTAGTTAATTAATAATTGCTCGTTAAAGGATGCTCGAAACACCAAATCAACTTTTATTTGCTTTCGTTGATGCTCTTGATTTTAAGATATATGTATGTCTATACGTCGCATAAATTATCTGTTTCCATTTCAATTCAGCGACGACAAGCGTAATTATTTCCAACCATGCGGCAAAAGCCAGAGCCAAGCATCACAACCGCAAGTTGTCATAGACTTAACTTGACCACGSCGCTGCTTCGCCGTKACACATGTCAAATGTATAATGCGACCAGCATTTACAACGACCTTGAATTACACGCCGTCCGACAACAACAAATACGCCTTGCTGGCATGCGCGCTAAGCGTTCATAGCGCCAGTTCGCGAATGCTGTTGAGCGCCAAGCGTGTGAGAGAGGAAAACATTGACACATAATGTGCCAAATAGTAGATGTACGCCTACGCGGTCRTATATTCCATCGCAGCTCGTTAGCTACGCAATTTACCACATTGTGGTGAGCAGCCTTGAAACTGTGTAGTGACAAACTTTCAACAGCMTCAACCAACAAGCAACAACAATTGCAATAATATGTGCGACATGCGTGGCAAATAGCGGGATAATAAGTTAAATACTCGTTGCATGCAGCAAACGAGGCAAAAAAAAAAAAAAACAATAAACAAAAAAGTATTGCAGAAAGCACTCAGCCGCATGTGTGTGGGCTGCTGCTACGCTGCGTATACGTAACATTTTGCACTTGAGCAGCGCAAGTTTATAGACAAGCGTTTAATTGCATGTTACACTTGTCGCGAATAGAAAATTATTACGATTTATCTGTCTTTAATATGAGGGAGTTGCCACTTGGTTGTAAATGTCGGATTATTTTACGAGAAAATATTAGTTATTAAGGATTTATTCAAGAAATTTCTTAATTGCTTTATGACTATTAGGCGTAGTTCTCGATCTATATCAGCAATTTCAACAAATTACTAAAAAAAAAAATCGAAAAGTTTGCATTACCCGATCGACTTAAAAGCTTTCGAGCCTGCAAAACKACAACCAATAATTATCCGACTTTGCTCGAAAACTATATTTAACGCTTTCCGTTGCTGCAGTAATCACATTTTATTTCTGTGTAGTGTGTATTTTTAATTCCTTTCCAAGTTTGCACTTTTGTTATTATTGTAACTTTTTCCTAATTACAATAATCCACAACAAATTGGCAACCGCAACCAAACAAGTGTTCCGCCACACTACAATAGCTGTCATTTACATATGTACACACGCACACAWATAACTCGCTATTTCACAGACATGATGTGCTCGTTGTTAATGGGTTAGGTAATGCCTAGTATTCGTTGTTGTTGTCGTGCTATTGTAGCACGCAATGTTAGTTTCAGATGTTCTCGCATGTCCTTTAAGCATTTAATTAGGTGTCAACATGGCATTTAATCAAGCCAACAGCGACAGTCATTTATTGCTGCTGGTATAATAATAAACACTCACTTAAACACTTATGACACCGACGCCGAGTATACTGGGTAGTAGTGATATACTTTTTTCTGTTTTCATGACTAACATTTATAAATGGATGGATATTTTGAGTATGAAGCTTTAAAGATAGTTTCGTGAAACACCAGTAAGTATCAAACCGGTAGTTGGCGCTAAGACCGAGGAAATATGAAACATTTTATTTGAAATTTAACACGTCTCATATTAAAATAAGTAGAAATATGTAAAAGTTCATTTCTTAAGGCTCAAAATAAAATGGAAAGGTTTTTATTTTAATCGGTTAAATCATCAATGAGCAGCCTGTTGAGTAAAGAGAACGCGTGCAAARTTTCGGATCGATAACTCAAAACCTGTGGCAATATCCTCCAACATCTGTATCCACGTATTTACCAAATGGAGMCATGGACAGATATACAACCAGATGGACAAACAAATCAACTAAACCCGTCAAGGTGCCCGACACTTCCACCTGGGTGCAACAAAGTTCTTGGTAAACTGGACTATAAATATATATAAAGGTATCTTAGAACTACATTTGTCAGAAAATCCTGCTAGATGGCGCTGGTTATTACCGAAAGTCTCATATATGGTCTAATGGAATATGACAAAACTAACTAGGTGTACTTTTTATACTCATTAGTTCCACTATGCTACTATAACCTATGCCACTATATAACCTTACAAGCAAAATAGAATTTTTAGTCATGAAGATGATCATCTATTCCTAATAATATTTCTTAATCTTCTTCTTTATTGGCGTAAACACCACGTAAAACCAGGTTCTTCTCCACCGTGTCTTCTCAACGGAGTGGAAGGTTTCCATTTCCTCTGCTTCCCACGGCTGGTACTGCGTCGGATACACCCAGAGCTGGAGTATTTTCATTCATTCGGACAACATGCTCTAGCCAGCGTCGTAAATCTTGCACAGCTCAGTGTTCCATCAACTGCGGTATTAGCAAAGGAACATTAATCTTCCACAGAATCATTCTCTCGAAAACTTGTAACGTCGACTTATCAGTTGTTGTGATCGAGAGAGGAATTTACTGCTCAATAGTCTACTCAGTCCGAAGAGAATTTGTTGGCAATAATTATTCTGCATTGGATTTCGAATCTGACGCTGTGACGCTTCGTATCATAAATCATTATAGTATAAATCAGGAATTTGGAAGCTTATAACTTTCACACTTTTTCGCTTTGAAGAAATATATAAGGGGAGGCTTAGATCGTTCTCTCCATCGTTCAAACGTCCTTTAAAGAAAACTTTTATTTAAAACTTATATTCTTATTCTATATTCATTTTGACAACACCTGTCATATAGTATATGTAATTTCCTTGCCCTGGAATACACCCTGGCATCATATGTTCTATATCAAACAAGAAATGGAAATGTTTCCGTTTAAATTAAAAGTCAYAACTAAATCGCCGCCTAAGTGCTGCTCCACTTCAAGTGCGCACCGTCGAGTGGCAAATAAATACTGGAAATGAAATTAATTTCCGCATGCCGTTACGAAACTAGAAACTTTGCGACCACCAAACAGCAATACAACTGCAACAACAACATACAAAACTAAAATAACGCAAACACGAGTGTAAAAGGTGCACACAGTGAACTTAACSGTAAACCAGGAAATCGATTGGAAACATTTCATCGAAATTGCAACTTAAAGTGTCAGTGCAATGTGATGCTCGAAAATGGGAAAAGAGTTGTTGCTCAATTTCATCGACAATGTAAGCCGCACAGGCCAAGCGTGCTACTCTTGATTACACTTGCACTGCGGAGAAGTATGAGCAATTCATGTGCTGGTGTGCAGGAAGGTGGCACTGCCGGTATTTCCTTGTACAAGGAGTTTACAACTGTCGTACTACTAAAAAATAAAGCGAAATACAAGGAAATGAAAGACAGGAATAACATCATAATAATGATTCGGTTCGATATGGAAAATATTGAGCTCCTAATTTATCTGCCAGCTCAAATAACATTTCATTCTATTCTGATGTGCAGTTGAAGGTGCTTCCTCATAAAAAGGCATCACTTTTGGATTAATAGATTAGCGAGGCTTTAAGTTGCTTCTTGGAGATAAAATATTTGTGTTTATTACAGACGCATGCTGTTTGATTGTGAGATCTTGGCATATCAGGGAACATGATGCATTGGACTACTATTCATTTTGTCACAATTATACGRCAAAGAAATTTTTCTTCGCCCATAAAAACATCAATGAAAAGTTGCCAGTTGGTGGAAATGTGAACAGAAACAGAACATAGTTATTATTCACTTCGAAGAAGATTCAGAAGGTGTTATAAGAACATATTTCACGTATTTTCTCAAACAACTGATCAAAATTTAGTCGGACCGGTTCCAAACCAAACTGATCACAATTTAGAAGCCGGTCTTGGTTAGGAAAATCTTCACAAGAAAGGCGGCATGATCCGGGGCGAAATCGTGATGCAACTTCCGATCGGCTGCGATGTCTTGTCGGACATGATTGACCCTTCGTTCGAGTCTCTTAAGGACGTGAAACTTAGCGTTGACGGTTTATTCAAGAGGAACAAATTCATGGTGGACTATGCCTTTGATATCAAAAAATACMATGAGTATCGTTTTTCCTTTCAATTTKCTGCGGCGTGTGYAACTCTGRAGATTACCWCTTTATCTCGGGATCATACTCAAAGATCCATGACTTGTCACCTGTGAYTAAAAAGATATATAWCAGAGAATCTCAACATCTTTTATGTATCAACTCAATCTATTTCGATTTATGTTTTTTGGTATAAAGAGTGTCAATGATAGACTCGGTCTAAATGATCTTAATATTTTTCCAAAACGACGTCTTCACAATAAAAAGAACAAAGTAGAGGAACCTACATTCATCAAACCTTATATTAAATAGTTACTGGTTATAAGATATAACTTTATGAATATTATGTCGGAACTTTCCAAGAATCTAGCTATGAAAATCCGCTGAACTCACTGAAGGCAATCACAACTAAGACTTGCTACATCGGCATAATTGTATTGCCGCAGGAGATAAACACCCAAATATGATACATGCTTATTTTTTACTCCATCGTGCTATAAAAAAACTTTCTTGCTTTTTTTGCAGAGTATTTTATTTGAGAGGGTGTTATTTTTGGAAATTACAAGGGTATATGTATACAGTACTCATCTACATCGATATACCTGGACAGCAAAGTTCATAATCGAAATCAATTGTGTTTCCAAAACTCGTTTCAGATTGCTGAAGTCATGATGTGCATACTTCTCCGCGAGTGATATAAGAAGAAATAAATGCTCGTATCTCACTAGAGTTCAACGAAATTGTGATTTAACTAATCGAAACAGGCGTGCTCCGTGAAAAATAAACTTGAACATTAATGTTGCTAAATAAACAGCTGACATGATCTTGAATACAACGCTAAAGAAGAAAGAAGAGAAATAATGGAAACTAAACTTGGAAACATAGAACAAATTTGGACTTACCATTAGCAGAACTTGAGAACGAACGTGAAACGTTTTCACCGAAGAAGAAGAGTTAAGCTTTACAGTTGGTTATAGAATCCATAAAATGTAGAAACATTGAGTAATTCAGAGCCGAATGTAATTTTTGACTGTAACATTTTTTTTTTTTAATTTTTGAGTTAGCTCATATTATTGTGAATCGCGTAGTAAAAGTAACGAATTAGAACCTCTCCACATACAAATATTTAGTCTAGAGTTATTGAGCACATATATACAGATTCCGTTTTTTAAATACTTTCTGATTAAACTTGTTGCAACAGCCAGCAATTTGCTTTTTCGCTTAATCCAAACCATCACGGATATACCGTTATATGCGGTGATTCTAAATAATCGGTCAAACTCTCTATAGAKCCCGAGACGCATACTAAATGCTCTGCTGGAATGCTACACAATGGCGGATGTATGCGAGCGTACCGACCACATTTCGCATTTGTATATTCACCTTTACAGAATTGCTGTCTCTTCAATAGGAAGGCCGGCGATGAAACACTATACGAAGATACATTCATTGGTGTTGAAGTTTCTAAAACGAAGCTTGCCTCGGACGATCTTYTAGCGTTTATTTCCATTAACTTCGAATTCATATTAACTGGTTTTGTGTAGGGTGTAGCTAGAGAGGTCATCTCGTTCATACTCTGTGACTTATTTGACGATTGTGTCGATAAAATATTCTCCTCATCAAATACTGCACTTTTAAAGCTATGTGATGAGGATTCTTTTATATGTACTTGCCGGGGTGCTCGTTGTTGTTTTGATAATCTTATGGAGTTTTCTTTGAGCATTTTTTCACTAGGGAAATTCTTCACAGTTATGTATGTCTTGACGCTCAACTCAGAATTCGTCCGGCTTTTGAATGGAGCAGCCATATTGGCGGAATTTAGCTTTTAGCTTCAAAATTTCTTATTTTTGATTTTTACTAGAGAATTTTTATTCATTTTTCAAGGGATGGAAAAAAGTCTCAATACATTTTTGAATTTGTCAACCGGCATACTTCATAACTTCATTGCCCTATCGTTTACATTTCTCTCCAAAGATTGTTACAATGTAATAGAAATTTATTTTTCATAATAATTGATGTTGACATACTTATCCCATATTTAGAAGAGTATTTTAGACTAAACATAATACTAGTAAGACTTTTTAATTTAAATTTTATGCGAAAACCCGATCTTCGAAATATTTTTGTTTTTTAGGTTTGTATGACTTCCAATGACTTCTGTCCCAAATGTCACATCAGAAATTAACAACAGCGCGCCAGTCGTTTCTTCTTTTAGCAATTCGGTGCCAATTTCAGCTACCAAATGCATCCAGGTCCTTTTCCACTTGATCTCTCCATCGGAATGGACGTCTTCCTCTTTTTCCCCCGGTGGGTATTGCATCAAATACTTTCAGAGCTGAAGTGTTTTCATCCATTCGGTCGACATGATCTAACCAGCAMAGCCGCTGTCTCTAAATTCSATGCACAATAAATATATATTATATAACTCATACAGCTCACCGTTCCATCGAAAGCGATATTCACCGTTGCCAAAGCGCAAAGTAGCATAAATCTTCCGCAGAACTTTTCTCTCGTAACGTAGACTCATCAGATGTTGTCATGGTCCATGCCTTGGCACCATCTAGTAGGACGGGAATAGGGAGTGACTTATAGAGTTTGGTTTTTGTTCATCGAGAGGACCTTACTTTTCAATTGACTACCCAGTCCGAAGTAGAACCTGTTGACAAGAGTTATTCTGCGTTGGATTTCGGGGCTGACATTGTTGTTAGTGTTAATATTGGTTCGAGGATAGACGAAATTATCTACGACATCGAAGTTATGACTGTCAACGGTAACGTGGGAGCCAAGTCGCGAGTGCAACGACTGTTAGATAGATGACAGTAGATATTTCCCCTTGAACTCGTTCAGCTCCAGACCCATTTGCTTCGTTTCCTTATCCAATCTGGAGAAAGCAAAACTAAAGTCAATATAATCGGCATACGTAAGCACCTGTACCTGCTCGATCCAAGAGAAGATTGAAGAAGTCGCATCATCATCCAGTGTGTCGATCCTCTTTTCATGGGTCTTTTCCAAAATTTGGCGCAGTTTGTTGACGGTGCAATACGCTCGATAGAGCTTTAAACGCGATGTTGAGGAGGCTTAACCCACAATAGTTGGCGCAGATTGTGGGGTCTCCCTTTTTGTGGATTGAGCAGAGAGCACTTAAATTCTAATCGTTGGGCATGCTTTCGTCCGACCAAATTTTACAAAGAGCCCATGCTTGCTCCTTATCACTTCTCCCCGCCGTGTTTGAATAGCTCGGCTGGCAATCAATCGGCCCCCGCTGCACTGTTGTTCTTCAGACGGTTAATTTCTTTTCGAACTTCTTCATGTTCCTGCAATATAACGTCTGCTTAATCGTCATCGTATGGAGAATCGGGTTCACCTTCTCCTGGCATTATGCTTTCACTGCCATTCAGCAGGCTGGAGACGTGTTCCCTCCATAATTGGTGCATACTCTGGGCAGTGATTACTAGATAACCTTTGGGAGTTATACAAGAGTACGCTCCGGTTTACGCAAGCGAGGAAAGTTCTTAGACCGCCAGTTACTTAAGAGTGGCGAGAAACGATTCTTTTACAAATGGCTCAAGCAGCTCACGACTTCCGGTCATAGACCAAGTATCCTCGGGGTTGCCAGAAAACATCCGTTTAAAGTGAGAAGGCGAAACATCCCCTCTACAGGGTTGTGCGCTGGGTTTGGGAACCGCCACGTAAAAACACTACCAAGGAAATGGAAGCAACAGCCTTCAGACTATAATAAGTATTAAATTAAAGCTCATTCAATATCTATTATACTCACCATATGTTGTTCGGCTCATATCAAAACATTATGTTATTTGATTTTTGCTTTTGTACGCGTTTAAGCAGCCAACTGAGCTAAAATCTTACTAATTGAAACATCGAAAATGCATGATTTTTTCTTTTGCATTTCGAATTGCCGCAGCGAAAAGGTAGCAATTAAATGCATATCTATCCAAGCGGCATATGACAAACCGCCAAATCGACCAGCTACACAGTTTCGCGTAAATGCTGCCTTRTTTCATGCATATACTCSTACATACATGCATACATATTTACACACGCATGCAAAAGTTGACTATTGAATTTTCCAATCAAATTGGCAGTTTTCAATCGAGTTCATTCATACAAAACCCATTCGAATGAAATGGCCGCGACGCAGCGGATAGATACAGGCAGAGGGTAGACACTACATACATATGTACATTTCTACATATGTACATTTCTACATTGATTTTTATACACATGTATAACTGTGTATGTGCGTTGAAATTTAAATAAAAAACCACTGCACAAACATTTTTTTCTGTTTAAAGCCGTTTTTATGCCATTAAATATACAGACAACGTCCGCCAACCGCTAAAAACCTAAAAACCAGCGCAAATGATAGTCTCCATTTGCATATTTTGWTTTTTTGCGCTTTTTTAAATCATTTTCAATTGACTAACCTACACAAGCTTTTAATTAGTTGCCAATTTGACTGCGAGAATTATTTCGTTTTTATCTTTTCACATTTTGCTTTTCGTTAAATTTCACATCAACAAGCAATCGCCGTCTATTATCATCAGCCATTTCCGCTTCCGCTTACTAATTTAACTGGTTTTTACGCGCCTGATATGCACATACATACTTACAATATTGGTATATGTGGTTATATGCAATCGTATGAGGTAATTGGCACCCTGTAATTTCAGTCATAATCACCTCACAGTGATTAACACAGACTCTACAATTACGACAACGTATGCGGACGACACTGCACTCCTGGCGTCGGCATTTCTACTACTGCCTTCAGGAAACTGCAATTGATAGCTTTAGAACTTTGGCTCATCAAGTGAAGATTTAATAATGAAAAGTCTATATAGTTAGCTTGCTACCATTTGTTGTATAGGTCAGTTGCTACCAAAACTAAGAAATCTCAGCCCTGGTTAAGATTTACGCAACTGTACTAGCTCCCAAGATCAAGATTCCTACTCAGTTTAAAGAGCAAGCTATTTATACATTTAKACAAAAAAAGCACCCAGAAATTGTAATTAATTCCCCGCGTAAATGATGTTTCAAAAAAAGTATTTTGCCAAGTTGGTAAGACTGTTGAACGCGAAATGTAAACCAGTTTGATTACAGCAACTTCTTAAATCGGAACACCTCTATAGTGCATTGCGATTTTCACTTCTTCTTCTGCAATGCATAAAAATATCGAACAGAAAATGTGTCTCAAAGTTTAAATTTTCCTACCAAATTTCGTTTGCGGAATCACTACGAACATTAGAAATGGCTTCCGGTGATTCACTTTGATCGAAAACACAAGCCTACGTGTGGTACRGAGTCTTTAAAGACGGTCGAAAGATCGTTGAAGACATGCCTCGTTCTGGACGACCTTCGATCTTTTCAACCGATGAAGTTATTTAAAAAGAGTGAGTATCGTGTGTCAAGTATTAGAGAGGTAGCAAGATAGCTTAACATCTTTTTTTTTCAAAAAGAATAATTCATACAGGTCTCTTTGAATATGCTTAATCGTGCGAATTGTGAAAGAACTCTTCGTAAAGATATATAAGCTACGCGCAACGCTCTAAATATCGGATACCAATGGCACGAAAATGGACGATGGAGTTGGTGCTGGGATATACTGACCAGAGTGAGGCATAAGGCAATATTTTAAGTTGTCGTACCACTGCAACATACTTCAAGCTGAGGTCTTTGCAATTGTGAAGTCGCGGAGCTGGCCTCTAATGCACCTGCAGGCAATTCCAGAGTYAACATCTACGTAGACWGCYAAAYAGCRATCAAKGCAGTAACCTARTAACGTACTCGATAGRAGAGACTGTAGGAACATAATGGAAATACTAACTGGYYACTGTATGGCGGCKACACACACTCGCAAAATGGGGCTGACAGATCGAGAAGATTGCAGGAAATGCCTAAAGCAGGGCACCAGGGATCTCTTGTGCCTTTGTCACGAATAGGCAACACTACGCTGTAAGCATCTGGGGTCTCCACGGCACACTGGAGGAGGTATCGATAGTGAATCCACAGAKTTTGTTAAAACTCACGTCAATTGCAGGCATCATAAAGGATGACTACTCGACTTGAACCTAGTAACTGAACTCCATCTGATAACGCAAARGACCAAAACTGGTCTATGCGTGGGTTAYTGTCCTACCAGATTAACATAACCTAACTTAATATAATTTATTGCAATAAAACTAAGTTTAGGTTTACGGTTTGCAATATAAGTCAAGAAGATACCGAACTCGGTTGTAATTTATTCACGATTTGATCAATTAATGAGTGTTTAATGCTTTCGCAACATATTTTCAACTGTATGCCGAGGATGTTGTAATAATTATATTATTATTTGCTAAAAAATATCTAATTATTATTGAAAAAATAGTAGAGTTAGAATTGGTKTTTGTCTTTCTTCATCTACATACTTAGTAGGTATTCGATTGTCGTCTAGAGTCCACAACGTTTACTATTTCCAACTCAAACGAGTTTTGAATATAAAGATGTTAAATCAATGTGTAACAGCATGGTTTTTCCATCGGCTTGGCATATGGTGATAATGACATATTGATAGTCAAATAAATATCCACTTAAATAACAATATTCGGCGTTTTCGTATATATTTCAAACATTCAGCAGCCATTACATTATGTCTCTTTTCAGTCCGTAAGCCGTGATTACACACATTCCGTGTTATCATTTCTTCACTCCCAGCATTATCTTAAAACACAAATTATTGCTATTAAATATGATTGTCCGCCATGAAAAGTCATCTTATGTGCTTATTGGCAAATAAAAAAAGCTTCTACGAAATTGGCAATGGAAGCCAATATAGCGACCCATAACAGCTGTTGCCAACAGCAAGAGAAATGAATATCATGCTCAATAAGAGAATATTGCGTGAACT